GACCTTCTTCGCGGCATCTCCAAGCCGATAATTACGGACATTCAGTGCGCAGCCTCGGCCAAATATCTCACTGAGATTACCTTTTGGACCACCGCTTCCCTGGCCTACCGCCCCAGCCACGTCGCCCCGGTGCTATGCCTTGGTTCGTATGATCCTGGACCGTGGCGAATGGGTATGGCTCCTTTCATCCAAACTCCCATGTGTGTGCCTTATCTGACTTGGACCAACAGGACGAAACCATTGCGTACTACGCCGGATACACCGAGGAGGAGGTCGAGCCTGTTGCTCACTTGATGGTCGATTACCTCGCACGTCCTGTCGTTCATGAAGCCTTCTTCAAGAAGTATGCTAGCAAGAAGTTCCTTAAGGGTCAGTACACCCTTCGCTTGCCCCACTGCATCGTGATGCTTACAATGAACAGCCTCGATTCTGACCCGCTCGTGGGCAAAGAGAATGGCCGCCCACTTCGGCATCACGGACACACACCTCTCTCTGGACCAGATCTCGACACGCGAAGACGACAGTCACTACGGTCAATATTAATCATGACCATGGCTCTACGTCCGGCCAGGATGCGACGTGGACCATTGCGGATCACTCATGATAGGCCCGCCTCCGCTTACGGCTAATAGACGGATGACAATGCTCTCAATTCTCTCCCTCATACACACGTGTCATTGTTGCGCGCGGACAACTTCCAGCGACGAGCATGCACCTGCTGCTCCTTTGCAGCCTCGAAGGCACAAGCAGGCCTACATTGGACACGGCTGTGTTGCGTTTCTTTTCCTCTTATTTTCTATTCATTTCTGTCTGTGTGCATCTCGTTTCGGCTTGGTCGATTGGCACACGGGATCACTGGTATCCCTTTCCTATCACGATTGGCGCTTGGAGTCGAGGTTGTCTTTCGAAGACGGACTGGGTGGGGGTTGGGCACGACGGACCGCCGATTGGCGGGGGTTTGGATGACGAACCGACCAGTAGCCCCCTTTTGGGCTCTCTGGCTTGCCCCTTTTCAGGCCGCGGACTTGATGAGCTGGGAGGCGCTGGTATTCGGCCGTGTCCGTCGGGAATGTCGGTCGGCGGTGGTGAAAGCTGTGTCAAAATTGTACATAGTCATGCGTCGGTTTTGCTTTGGTTCATCAGGGAATGGGTAAATACATCTGCATTGTGGTTCATCATCGGGTGAACGCCATTCGCCATTTGGGGTCCGCTTGCACTCTCGCGATGTGACGTGGCTGCCAAGTGACGAGTTTGGGCGTGCCCTCAACGTTTCCATGTGTTTTTGCAGTGGGGGCCACAGGTGGCGGACTCTGTGGCGGGGGAGATCGAAGAGGCACGATTGTTGTTGGGGTCGTATTCGATCATGTGCTACCATGCTCGTCTGCTGCATGCACCTAAGGTAAGGTAGGTAAGGTAAGGTAGCAAGGTAGGTACCTAGCTAGGCACCTACCATGTAACTTTGAATGAAGAGGCATTGGAGTTGCTGAAATGATCCTCGCCTGATGCACTGCCACGCGACTACTTGCCCGATACGTCATGACTCGTCATTTTTCACGGCTCAGTCTCGACCTTCATTTTTCAGGGCGTTGGGGAATGTAGGCAGGCAAACCAGGCAAGCCTTCCAATTGTCCTTTGCCCACGATGTCCGGTGCGACCGTATTGCACTGACACGTGGATGACCAAGGCTTCGAGCAGAGCGATGGGAAAGCTTGCAGAGTCCTGCACCCAGGTTACCTTACCTTTGGGCGACGGCAAAGTCGGGAGGCGAGCAAGGCACGCGGGTAAGGTACCTAGGTAGGTAGGCTGAGGGCGATGCAGGGTTACATCAAACATGGGTGGTTCCTTTCCAAACAATGCTCTAGTGTCATGATCAACGTCTGCGCCTCCCTCTGCCGCCCGGGTTGATCTAACCGCGGCGAGGCGCTTTACTTGAAAGCTGGGAGAGGCCAATCGGCCAGCACAGCTTTCATATGTTCCCTGGTCGTTTATGTTCAACATTGGCGGGCGTTTGCTGCGCCAACATTTGTCTTTCTGTCTCTCTCTCTCTCCCCCCCCCCCCTTCCACCCTCCTCCCTCTTTCCCCCCTTCCTCACCCACATGCTCTAAACTCATCGCATAGCTTTGACGCCATTCACTTCCACGTACCGCCAGCATCATTGCTCAATCCCTTGCTCAACTTTAGGAAAGTTGTCGTCGTGCCTGAAGTCATCCATCGCGTCGACACCCTCTGGCTTTCTCGTGCTCCCCGGGATGTGACTCGGACCAGATTAGGTACGCGACATTCATCCCCACTTGCTGTGTGAGCGTTGTGGTAGTTCCAAGACACCACCGCCAGCCAGCCACTGGGAACGACGCAAAGACAAGAAATCCTCCACACAAACCGCTTCCCGCCATCCCACGCAACGAGTTTGGCAAAGTACTGCGTCGATAGCGCCTCCCGAACATTACCACCCCTTCTTGACAAGTAGCGCAAGCGCTAGCAGGCCAGTCGCAACCAAGGAAAGACCCGCGACTTGCCTCGATCGCGCTACCTACCCTAGGTACCTACCTTACCAACCGACCTTAGGTATATCAACCGGGCTATCCTTCTGGCTTCCGCCATCCGCTGCCTCCTCCCCCCCAAAAGACGACTTTTGCGCCGTCGCATCCCATGCCCGACTCCATCCCCCTCACCAACCTCAGTGTGTCGCCGTCATCAAGGCCAACATACTACAAAATGCCCGATTCCTCATCAGTCCAGCGCAAGGGTCGCTTCACGAAACCTCACGATCGCTCATGGACAGCCTCCCTCATTTGCTCATACGTCTTCGATTGGGTCGTTCTCGTCCTCGTCGCAGGAGCTGGCGGTGGTCTCCATCTCATCGAGCCAAACAAGCGTCCGTTTTCTCTTGTCGACCCCAACATCGCGTAAGTAGTTCACAAGCAAACCGCCCTTTATTCATCTCTTCCTCATCCCTCCCCTTTTTTCTCTCCGCTGGACATTTCAGGGACCCCGAAAAGGGGACCTGCAGCCAAGACACCAAGACTTACACGCGTCGCTTCCTCCACCCCACCCCTTGGCTTTCTCTTCTGTCGCCTTCTGCTGTCCTCTGTCGAGGATGTCCTCTGCGCCACTCATCTCAGACTAACTTTGTACTCTTTGCACAGGTTTCCCTTCACCGAAAGTGAGACGGTACCTGTATGGCTTCTGCTCGTACTGAACCTCTTTGTCCCCGCCCTCATCATACTCTTGGTGTGCTTGATCTTCGTCCCCGGCAACACTGTCCCCGAGGGTACACCCAAGTCTCTTGTCTGGAAGCGGAAGCTATGGGAGCTGCACGTTGGCCTGCTTGGCCTAGCCTTGGCTATTGTAGGCGCGTGGTTCATCACCAACGGAATGAAGAACATGTTCGGCAAGCCGCGACCTGACCTGCTGTCGCGATGCGAACCCGACCTGGCCAACTTTCAGCAATACATCATCGGAGGCATCGCTAGTGGATCAGCAGCCATACCCTCCAATCTTAACTTGGAGCAGCTGGTGGGCTTGGGGATGCTGGTTTCGCCCGACATTTGCAAGAACACCGACTCGAGCAAGCTTGACGATGGCTTCCGCAGTTACCCATCCGGCCACTCGAGTTCAGCGGCTGCCGGTCTCATCTACTTGTCTCTGTTCCTAGCCAGCAAGTTCGCTGTCACCATTCCCTTTGCCGCCAACAGAGGTAATGCCACATCCCAATCGGCATTTCCGTCACGTCTTCAGAAGGGCGGTTCCGGTCTTGGCCCCCAAGATGAGTCGCTGGGCACACCTGGTGCTGTCGCTGAGAAGGCCCTCGCAGAACACCACAAAATGGTCACAGCTCTTCGTCGACAGGCGGCCGCACCACCCATCTACCTTCTGTGCATCGTCGTCGTTCCGTTCTTCTTGTCCGTCTTCATCTCAGGGTCGCGGTGGTTCGATTACAGGCACCACGCCTTCGACATTCTCTTCGGCTATCTCATTGGTGTCCTAACATCCATCTTTGCGTTTTACTACTACCACCTCCCTATCCGTAACGGTGCAGGCTGGGCCTGGGGTCCCCGAAGTCACGACAAGGCATGGTGGTCTGGGGTCGGTTCCTACAGCTATGCTACCGACAAGAAGAATTTCATCAAGATCAGTGATGAGGAAGAAGCGCTGGGCCTGCAGAACTACGGCCGCCACAGTCCTAGTCCAAGCGGGTCAAGAGCGACGCACCGTGTCTTCAACGGTCACGCTGCTGATCATCGTGATCACGGTCACGAGCAAGCAGACTATTTCGATCCTGCCTCAGAGACACCATCAGGTCGACGCCTCGACAGCCGTCAAGATGGCCAAAGCATGGGTCATTTTGACCCCTACACATCTGCGCAGGCTCGCTAGGTCCTTGACCGTAGGTTAGAAGACCTTCATGCAAGGCGTCCTGCGCACGTGGTATAGAGGCCTCCAACGCGAGGCCGGATATTGGTAACGGCCTTTTTAGAATTGTGCTTTCTCGTCAGGATTTGGGCAGATTGGGTATGGTTGGGCGTCCGGATTTTGGTTAGCATGTATTCTCGATGCAGCTTCAGCACCATCGCCCAATGTAATCGAATCATTTTCAATGCCCTGGGAAAGTGACATGAAAGTGGGAAATCCTCGAAAACTAAACTAACTATGACTGCAGCATAGTGGTACGCCTTGGAAAAAAAAATGTTGCGTTGTATTGAAGGCGTTAAACAACCCCCCCGTGCTCCACATCGTAGAGACGTCTTCCTGGCCCTTTCTTGAACGGTTCGGGATGTGCCTCGGACGGGACTCCTGGCCGCGCCAAGGGAAAACGTTCATAACGTCATTACTAATTCCACGAGGGGGAAACTACATGATCCGTCCCCTCAGCCGCTCACGCCATTGCGTTTTGTCCAGTGGCATCCTGAACGACAGTCACTCTTGCATCTCCGCTCTCCTCCTCGAGGTCATCCATGTTGTCGTCCCTGAACCCGACCTCGACGTCCATCTTGCGCAGGCGGCGTCGCATGTCGTCCTTCTTCTGGTTCTGCCAACGTATGAGGGCCGCGGAGGCGTGCACCTTGAAGCCGTACACACGGGGTACGTATCGCTCGATACTCTTGGCGGGCACGAGCGTGGGGTAGACCTGGAAGAGGACGTTGTGGAAGGACGTGCCAAAGTAGGCGCCGTCGATGGCGGCGTGGCGCGACGACTTTGGGTTGTAAATGTCTTCGCAGCGGGTGCAGTAGAGCTTGACGGGCTTGAGGCTGGGGCACGTCGGAGAGGCCCATGGGCAGAAGAGGGTGGGATTGGCACATGACGCGAGGGCATTTGCCAAAGTCGGCCTTTTTGTACTTTTCGAGCTGATTGATGCAGGATTAGCCAAGATGGTCAGCTCGAGGGGAAAGGGGGAGGGGGGGGGGGCGCAATGCGAATAAGAGGTATAGGGAGGGAGTTCCAGCGGGAAGGGAATGGCTCACCATCTTTTGCAGGCCTCGTGTTGTGACAATGTAGCGTGCGTGGACGAGGCCGTACAGGTGACGGGCGGATTTCTCAATGGTTTCTCTCATGTCGTCGTCGCAGTCGAGGTCGAAGACGTCGGTGACCAGGTCGAGGGCGTATTGATAGTACTGGACCTCCGTGTTAAGGCCGGTCAAGTTGAACCGATCGGTGAGGTAATCCTCGTCGATTTCGCAAAAGTACTCGTTGCCGCGGGACGAGATGAACTATTCAGCAGGGTATATCAGCACATGATCGTACAAATCAAGACGGGTGTCCCCCAAAAGACAACGAAAACATGATGCCGTCACACGACTTGATGGGCGTCATGACAGAAAGGGTGAGCATCCTCGACAAGTGGCCATGGTCGAGTGGGGGGGAAGAGGCGTGAGAAGAGGTAGGTGCAGTGCAAGGGATAAAGCTGGTGTCGTGCTTCGCGCCCATGTTGTCTGTTTCGACGTTGATGGACGCCTCCCGCGAGCAATACGTGCGCAATCCAGCAGGCAGAACGGCAGGTGGGATTTGTCTTACCCAGTCCCTCCAATAGCTAGTGTAGTCGCTATCGGACTCGCTCACAAAGTCTTCCATGGTGCGGGTGCTGGGCATCAAAGACACCAAGGCCGCTACGGCTCGTACTGTAATCGCGTCTTCTTCCTGGTCTGTATTGTGGCCCATCCAAAGGGTATCGCGCCGTTTGCTGGCTGGGTGTCGAAGTCTGTGAGGTAAGAAGAACTCGGATCAGGGTGGTAGCTTGTGGCCGATGGCGCTCACAGGCGTGCTTCTGCGGCTCTGCTATGCGACGGTCGTTCAAGCAGTCTACCGCACGAGAAGTGATTGATACAGTCAAGACAAGATCCCATGCGGTGCCGTGGGGAAGCGAGGTGGGGGGGCTGTGTGCGCCAGTACTGCTGGTTATCGGGCGGCATCTTATCGTGCGGTAAAAACGCCCACCACAAGCCACTGTTGCTGACAAGGGAATGCACATATCCAGTAGTTGTCAATAGCGAGGCGACCGTATCGAACAGTTCAGGCAAAGGGAACATCAGGCAAGTCCATAGGACCTTGGTAGGCCTCATTCCTACATGCAAGCGACCTCAACTTGTGCTCAGCGTCGCTCTGACGAGAAGCTCGCCGCGTCGCTTCCGGAAAGTGTGTCAGACTCTTCTCCATCCTCGCTCGTCTTTGAACCCAGACCGTTCAGCCCCCTGCGGCTCACTGGGAGTCGCAAATGGCTTAATCCTCCTCCCGGCGACGGTGAGTCGCTGATGCGTTCTATTGACACATTGACTTGTTCCATCGCATCCCTCAATGTATCTCCCGTCTCGTCCATTGCCGCCAAGAACCGTGCCAACTCTTTGCAGAGATCCCAGTCTTGTTCGCGCATGGCGCGTGACAGAAGTCTCACAGTTTGCTCAGGGGCAGAACCCAGTTCATCCAACGTATGAAGAATAATCAGGTAGCCTCCGGCTGTCTTGAGTGAGCCACGGAGAAGAGACTCTTCAAAAAGCTCCTGCACCGGCGGCAGGTAGGCGAACAGAGTCCGCCACTGCCTTGCTTCTGTCTTTCTCGTGCACTGCACAACAACATCGAGGTACTCCTTGAAACAGGACAGAAGTGACAGCACTCGTGGAAGAATCGCTTTCTCTGGCACGGGCGCAGAATCCACCTCGTCGTCCAACACCTGATGGAGCAACATCTCTAGCGCATGAGGAAAATATTCGAGATGCTGGAACTGCTGTGCCAGGCTGACAGCATCGGCAGATCTGTTATCCACGAGGAGGAAACGAAGAATGTTGGGTAGGAAAAGATGTGTCTGCCGGATCACGTTAGAGAAGTTCTCGAATCTCGAGCAAAAATAGGTTAAACTGACCCTGATGGTGAACCGGAAAAGGGAGAAGTTCAGGTCACGCCTTTGTACCAAGTCAGCTTCCACACCCAGAAGAATGCCCTTGGCTTGCAGAGTTGAGAGAGGATAGAAGTCAATCGGTATGGATACTGTCGCAGGAAGGTCGCCAGAGGATTCGCCTGATGCTGCCCGCATAACATCCTGCAGTTCGGGCCACACCTTGAACTCGGTGCCATCAAACACCCACAGCGCATTCCTTAAGCTTGTGTCCACAGTCTTCGTCGAGTTGTTTTGCGGAGACGAAGCAAGGACGTCCTGGGCCGGCTGGTCCCTCATGCTGGCATAAAACTCGACGTTTTGCGAGATGACTCTCATGTCGTACTTGAGATGCCCTTCGCTATTCACGGACGGGCACAGTAGAACAAGCTTCGCGTCGACAAGGAATAGCACGGAAGCCACGGCAACATCCTGCGATGGGTCGCCGTCGACAAGTTGGCTTTCCGGTAAAATCCAGCTAAGCCCACGCACTCTGGCTGGAGACCTGACGATGCCATGGAATGCAATCTGACCAAGCTGCACCAATCTCACCGAACCGGCATAAGGCGTGAAGATGAAGTGGTACAGTAGATTTTCGTAAGTGTACACCAGAAGCGAGTCTTCACCCGACGTCGTGATCAGAACGATAGGGGCGGATACCGGCTGGGAATGCACAACCATCGAACCGTCCAAAGCGGCTTCTCTGGAGTACAGTCGTATCTCATGCGTGCGGTTGACCTCAACCGCAGCTATGAGGATATGCTGGTACCAACACATGCCACCCCTAACTTGGAACTCGTTCTCGGCGGCCTCGTTCATAAAGGTCTTCCACCGTCCACTGTTCACGCTATAGTGGGCCAGTCCACGCCTGCCGGCTACGGCGACGTAACGACCGTCAGGAGAAATGACAGTGTGCCGTATTGGCCACTGGTTGAGAAGATATGCTGGCGGGATTTCGGCTGTGTGCCAAAGGAAGGGTTCTGCCGATATGGATGCCAGGTCGGGGAGATCGTAGCCACGGTATATCATGACGCTGGTGCTCGTTTGTAAGACAGTGCGGAGCAGATTCGCAGAGTTGTAACAGCCTGCTACCGCACTCCTGGCCATCTCCATCGCCCATATGGCTTCGCGGTCCCGACTTGCTATCAACAACTCTGAGCCTCCTCCAAGCCACACGGCGTCAATGACAGATGAAAGCCAGTCTTCGCCAGCCGTCTCTGCAACCGAGCCATCGAAACTGAAGCTGTGGCTTCCAAGCTTGCCATACACGCTCCATGTTGCCCACCCTTTCTCGAACCCGGCGAAGAGGCAATAACCATCTGGCGAGTAGCTCAGCGTTGTAAGGGCGCCTGAGACAGTGTGAGAAACAGGGAGTGTGTGGACATGAGACGGTGGGATATTGCCAGCATAGTCGCGTGCTGAATACACGTGAATGCTGCCATTGGCGCAGCCGACGGCTATGAGGGAGAACCTCGCATTGATAACAGCACGTCGAGCGTGATCGAACTTGCCCCGAGGTGAGTGGAAGCAGTAACCCTTAAAGAGCTTTTTTGGATCTGCCTCGCCCTCGGCTAACTTTCGGGCTGACACACGCTGGACAGCATGCGCCTTGCCATCGCTAGTGATCCACGTCGACAGGTTCATCGGCCGGTCATGAGTCATCTCCGTAATGGTGATCTTCTTGTCCAACCACCCCATACGACTGATCATCTCAGTCTTGGTCTGACTTCCGCTGTTGTCGGGAGTCCACCGGATGCATTGCACAGCTGCTGGCTTCCTTGTTGCCACCACCAGCTCGTCATCGAGGGCAAGTGCGCTTTCGATTCCTGCATCTACCTTGATGACCATCCTGAAACGAACGCTGACATCGCGAACGCCCGCTCCCTCGCCCGGGCCCCAGAGAAATTGGTCAGGTGCACTACCTCCAGGTCCGGCGTGTATTTGGCGGCGTCGTTGGATATTGGCATAGCTGGGGAAGTAGGGTTTGTAAACGTGGGCCTCGGAGTCTGTGGCGAGGGAGTACGTGATGAGATAGCCCTGTGTCGTGTGGACAACCAGGATGGCCGAGTCGGGACGCATGAGCAGATCGAAATTCTCGCCATAGGTACTGAGGGACGACACAGATCGAACGACGACGGCGAGGATAGCGGTAGGCTTGAAGGGTCAGAGAGTCATCTGCAGACTGCCGAGGATTGGACGCAACCCACCTTTGTCTGCCAAACAGCCATGGAGGTCGCTGTGATGACGGCAAACAGCGATCCACTGCGGGAAGTTCGCAGTGCCAGGACAGGATCTTTTAGGGGCAACTTCACAGCGTCGGGTATCTGCGTTGACGCGAAAGCTGCGGAATCGGGTTGGTCTGGATCGCCTCGCTCCACGGACTGAACCGCAGGCGTTGCGGGCGTTGCAGGCGTTAGGGGAGTCGTCGACTCGACAGATGGTTCCGGCAGTGCATTTTGCGCCCCGTTCTCATGGAAGGGTTCGGTCGAGGATACATATGGGTGTTGTGGTCGCTCGTTGATTGTGGCTCGGTCAAAGGGGTTGGTGATGCCATCTTCAGAGACGATGAGGTCGAACTCTGGTCCAGAACTACTACTCGTCGCGTAGGTCTTTGGAGTGCCGATAGGCCAGTACATGTTGGCAATGCGCCGCAGCGGAAATTGATGGCGGGCTCCGGTCCAGGGTTACTGTCCGATCATGGCCGTCCTCGTTAGGTTGAATGAGGGTGCTCAGAGGATGCGGAAAGTACAGGTGTGCACTGCTTAGCAGCGGCTAAAGCTTCTTCGCAGGAGAATCGATCGAATCGCATGGCCTGGCTGTATTCAGGGAGTGTGCTGTACTATGGAGGTTCGACAATGGCACGGCGTCAAGTGCGGTAAGTCGATGCTTCGATGATAGAGCATCGCGAGCTCCGAACCGCGTTTGCAAGTAGTGACAAGCTTCGGAGCTTCTGGTCTCAGACCGTACAGCATGTCCGGGTCCCCGCCAGCTAGGACGCACGTATGCACTGGTCTACCCTGGTCAGGGGTTACCTGTGTGAAAGGGCGAGAGGCGAGGTTGGTGAGGCTGGCAGGTGGGTCACCGACCGGCGGGGATCCACCCCATCTCCAGAGGTAAGCAGCTGGTGCCTTTTGTCCGCTTTCGGTACCCTATGAGTACTTGCAGGGCATTACCCATTGCTATATTTCCTGTCAGAGGGGCTGTCAAGAAGAATCACTTTATTCGGAGTGCTCAGTCTACCTTATGCTCGCCCTGAGCTCCCGGACTGTGTAGTTGGTTGGAAGTGCCACGAACCAACTTCTATGAGACATAAGACACTCATCCGACATCGCACAATACCTCGCGCCTCTCTCTCCCTCTCAATCTCAGCACCGGTTCCGTGCATGGTTGCTTCTCTGTCTTATCCGACCTCTTCCCTTCCCACACATACACAGACACACACAAGCACACGCACAAAGAGTCGCACAGCCACTCGCTCATAGAGGAGTCTCAGCCCGTACATCGACATGGCACCCCTCTCTCGCCCGAAGACAAGTCTCCCAAGGGAACGATTCACCACGTACTTGAAAGATATTAAGATACAAACGTATCAGGACCCCAGCTTCGGCTCCAGTTCTCGCAACAGCGGCTCATCACGCAGGTATTTAGCCTTCGTCTTTATAGAAGAAATTCATGTTTGACAAGGCAAAAAGTAGCATATGGTCCATTTCTTGGAACCCAACTGGTTCCCTCATTGCCACGGGAGCGGATAGGATACTTCGTGTCTGTCAGTTGAGCTACTCGTGTCCTTTCTCCTGGCACTCACGTTTTCGTAAGGTTGACTGACCTTTCTGCAGGGAATCCTGAAAAGCCCGTTGCACGCTTCTCGACTGAGCTCAAGGGGCACACAGCTGCGATTGCCAAGGTTGCCTTCAATCCTGCCAAGGATGCAGAGCTCTGCAGCATCAGTTTTGATGGCGTGGCCAAATTCTGGGACGTTCGAAGCAAAACCTGCACCAACGAAGTCAAGGGCCTCGGTGAAGCCTTCACGCTGGCATGGGCCCCAGATGGCGAGACCCTCGTGGTAGGCAACAAAGTGAGTGGGCGCCGTTCAGAGTTCACAGAAGCGATGCTACTGAGAACGTGCTGACCAAGGGCGTAGGCGGACACGCTCTTTCTACTGTCTCCTACCCAAACGGCACCCTTGTCCACTCACACGCAAGATGTGCAGACAAACCAGGTATCGTTCTGTTGGAGTGGAGAGAAGGTCTTCCTGACCACTGGCGAGGGTCGTGTCCGTATTCTTTCGTATCCCGACTTTCAGCCACTACTTCACCGCGAGGGCCCAGACGGGGCCATCGAGTTCACGCTGGATGGCCACGCTTCACAATGCCTCTCGGCCGAGATGCAGCCGACTGCTCGTTATCTAGCGACAGGTGGGTATGATTCCATCATTGCGCTCTGGGACACGACAAACTGGATCTGCCAGAACACGGTCACCACGTCTGTAGGCCCTGTCCGAAGCATCAGTAAGTTCTCCATTCATGTCGCTGGTGCGCATCCCTGATCAAGGATATCACAGGCTTCACGTTTGACGGCAGTTACTGTGTGGGAGGAAGCGAACAGGGTGCTGGCCTCGATGTTTTCCACACGGAGACGGGGGATACTATCCACACCATCAAGACGAGCGATCCCAGCCCAGTGGTGGCGTGGGCGCCTACGCGCTATTACCTCGCCTTCATAGACCAGAATGCCCTTCGCATCGCTGGTATCGATACAGAACGGAAATAGAGCTCTACAGGAGGGTGCTACGCTCTCTACATGTCAGTATTGTTCCGGAAAGTAAGAACCCGAGAGCTGGGGGCCGAGGTGCGTGTCAGTCAGCGCGGGCATACTTCAGACCGACATTTGGGGGGGATGTATAGTTGTGCCTTTCCTGGATCGCCGCTTGCAGTGGCTTGTGAATGGCCATTGGGACACCAGATTACTCGGCCCTGGCAACGCTTGTGTCGAGCTTCCTACGCCGGACCTCGAGGCATCTGCGCAGAGGAACCAGCCTTGTTGATCTTTGGGAGATGACGATGACGAGGTGCAAATTTGCTGCCTAGAGCCAAAACATGTGCGTCGCCTGGCATCGCCTGGCAGGCAAATGGTAGATCGCGGGAGTGTAGAGCTGGGCCCAGTGCAGGACTTACGCAACACCAGAGCCTGCCTGGCAGAAGACAATGTGCTGTTGCATCGCTGTGCGCAGCGAGTGCGGGGGCGGCAATGGATCGATGGGCCGAGTCAGTGTGCTGGATTGACCTTATCCCTGTCGGTACCTGGTGGAAAGCAGTAGCAATGAAGGTGTGTGGCTGAGCTGCGCCCTGCCCAGGTGAAAAGCCATTTGTACGTGAAGTGAGCGCGGCACCGGCTTGTACGACTGGTGCATGAGGCAACTCCGAGGCTTATGACATGGGCGCAAATTTGTTCTGTACCTGGCTGTACGCTCTCTCAAACGAAGCCCTCTGAGGGCGGGGGGCAGGCATAGGTAGGAAGAGGCGTTGGGGATCGCATGTCACCCCCCAGACAAGACCCCCCAGAAAAGGGGTCCTTGTCTGGCGTGATCCCCTTGGACACTCGGCTACAGACTATCGGTACCCACTACATGTTCTTCCTTCAGATATCTAGGCACCAAGACCACCTAGCAAGCCAGGTAGGCCCCTCCCTACAACCGTGCTAGGTACTGTAGACAGTTCACTAAGATTCGCCGGGAATGGGGCTTGCTGATAGGCTTGACACTCACCACGTGAAGTTGAGTCGCAGATACATGCATAGGTAGTGAGCTGACTGCTCAGCCCATCCGTCTTATCAACAACCTTTCCACTAACCCCCCCCCCCCGATTTTCAGGCGGGTCAACCATCTTCGCCTTGAGACAGAACTTCAATTGAGCGACCCGATAACATCTGCGTCGCGCGACAGATCATCTACCAGTTCCAACATACGACGAACCAGAATCGCCCCCTTCACCCCAAAACAGATCGCGAATAAGCCCTCTGGCATGACAGTGACTGGCCTCTTCGCAGGCTCTCATCTCCCACTGCCCGATTGCGAAACCGCCCGACCGACTCTCTGCAACCCCGTCGAACCTCCACACCACCCACCACCAACTGCCGCGACTTGGGAACCCAAAATATCGCGAACAGTGACCCGGCTGTGGCTGCGGTCCATCTCCTCTCCTTTGGACCCGATCGTTCAGCCTCACCATGTCTCCCCCTTCACCGACGACATCAACCGAACAAGATGGCGGCGGCATTCCGTCTCGTCATCGAGCCGTGTCTCCCAAAGCAGAGCTAGACACTGCCGACAACAGAAGCATACCCAAACCAAAGCGCCTGGCCTGCATGATCTGTCGCAAAAGGAAATTGAAATGCGACGGCATCAAACCCAGCTGCAGCACATGCACCAGGCTCGGCCACTCGTGCGCATACGACGAAGTGCGTCGAAAGAGCGGCCCCAAGCGGGGCTATGTCAAGGCTTTGGAGGAGCGTCTCAGTGAGCTTCAACCCCCTCGCTGCCCTGGCGTTGCGCCCCGTGTTTCGCGCCTACTGATCGTGTGCTTCTATCTGCAGAGCAAGTCGAAACCCTCCTCAACAAAACCAAAGACTCGGCAACAGGTGCCGATGCCAATACGGCCGCGCCTCTGAACCTTGACACCGCATCAGCTACCCGCGTCCAGCTGTCACCCGCCGCCGCCGCCGCCGGTGGTGGCTTCAGCGGCCAGAACGCCACGCTCACTCTTCGAGGCGACGGCGACATGGACCGCTGGCAGTTTGCGGGCGAGTCGCCTCAACCTGGGCCTCCCATGGACGACTTCAACTTCAACACGAGCATGACCCCCGGCTTAAACCCCAACATGCCGATGGGAATGGGCAACCTGAATAATACGAACTTCCCATGGGAAATGATAGGACTTGGTCTGGAGGAGCCCCTGCCACCACAAGAGACCATCGATGAGCTGTTTGTTCGACCTTCTATGCTTGGCATGTCACGCAGCTAACAGTAGCACCTATGCAGGCATCAGATCTACTTTGAGAAGGTCCACCCTTCCATGCCAATGATTCACAAATACAGGTATCTGGCGGCCATGAACCTGTTAGTATGACCCTCTGCCTCCCGCGACCGTTTTGAGCTGATGACTGTGCTTTAAGAGCCCCAAATCAACGTCCACCCGTTGCACTCCGATACGCAATCTGGACCTTGGCTTGTTCCATTACAGACAAGTACATCGACTTGAAGGACTTGTTCTATCAACGTGCACGTAAGTACGTGGAAGGTGATTATGTCAAAGGCTACGGAGAACACATGATATCTGTCGCCCATGCACAAACCCATGTTTTGTTGGCCTCATATGAATTCAAGATGATGTATTTCCCAAGAGCATGGATGAATACGGGGGCGGCAGTCCGCTTGTGTCAAATGTGAGTAGCGACAGCATGCTAAACTTGCCGTCGCAGAGCAGAGTCACTAATGTCATCCAGGATTGGTCTTCACCGCTTAGATGGGGCGGGCCTCGACGTCAAGCAATGCCTTCCACCCCCGCGCGATTGGACCGAGCGCGAAGAGCGGCGGCGCACGTTTTGGATGGCATTCTGCGAGGATCGGTATGCGAGCATCGGCACCGGCTGGCCCATGACCATCGACGAGAAGGATATTATGACGAACCTGCCATCTTCGGACGAAGCTTTCGACATGAGTAGGCCTGAGCAGACGCAATCCCTGCAAGACAGCATGAGTCCCGCAGGAGCAAGCAAACTCTCATCTTTCGGCGGAATTGTGCTCATGGCCTGTCTCTTTGGCCGTAACCTTATCCATCTTCACAGACCCGACGTCGACGACCGAGACAACGACCTCAACGGCGAGTTCTGGAAACGTCACAGGTCAATGGACAACATTATCCTCAATACATCGCTCTGCCTGCCGCCTCACATCAAGCTGCCTTCCGGCCTCAGCAACCCCAACATTGTTTTTACCAACATGAGCATCCACACCTCGACAATATGCCTTCATCAGGCGGCTATTTTCAAAGCTGATAAGAACAAGCTACCGGCATCAGTGAGTGCCGAAAGCAAAGTCCGCTGCATTACCGCTGCCAGCGAAATTGCGAGTATCATGAGGATGATATCGCACATGGATCTAAGCTGCGTAAGTCTTGTCTGGCACCGTTACATTACGACAAGGTTCTCTAACAAGCCTACAGATGAACCCTTTTATTGCGTTCTGCCTCTATGTGGCTGCGAGGGTATTCGTGCAATACCTCAAGAGTCGACCTGATGACAGTCAGACGGCAGATTCGTTGCGTTTTCTGTTGTCAGCCATGAATGCTCTGAAGCGCAGGAACCCCCTTACGGAGTCATTCTTGGTACAGCTAGATGTCGACCTCGAAGCTTTGGGGATGAGAATTCCGAAGCTGAGAGCTGCATTCCCACGAAGCGGCGACAGTGTACGTTTTCCCTCACCGCCGCATGGCCCTTGATGTTGTTGACTGACATTGTCGCGTGATTTAGCCGGATGCCACCGCCGCGGGAAGGCGCTGTGATGAAGAAGGTGCTTCAGGAATTCTGGCTTACAGGAGTGATTGCAACTACACGAATGGCGATGATGCCGTTCCAGTCACCGGCCCTGGCATTGCCGAACCGGTTTCGGGTACTCAGCCTGTGAGCAGAACTATCTCGGACTCGTCCGGCTTCTCGGGCCAGCGCTGGCTTGGTCCAGACGCTGGATTCGCTCAAGAAGGAGGTGCCTCTCGCGTGCCTTTGCAGGGCATGGTCCTGACACCTGGGTCAGGTTCGTTTCGGGGGCTCGCGAAACGGTACAGTTGCTGGGTTCGGACAGACTGAAAGCAGCCGGCGACAACACTATTGGGCTCGCCAGATGGCGATCAGTTTTAATCGACCGACACCCAATTCAAGCTCAGCCTCTGAACATCGAAGCGGGCCGACTGCATCAGTGGGCATGGAAGGATCCAAACAGAAACTCGTTCGAAGCCAGTCCAGCCTCTAACAACCCAAGCGCTAATATCGGGGTGAATGGCGAATCCACCACTGCTGGCTTCTTCGCCGACTCACAAGGGTTCAACCTGGGTCCCACCGGGATGACACCCGGGGCCAGGTTCCAGATGGGTGACAGCCCTGTGGATGCCTACGGCATGGCGTCCAACGGGTGGCCGGGCATGCCAGGTCAGTCAGGCATGACCCCAATGAGCGAGGGGGTGCTACGATCGCTCATGAATATGGGACCGATGGACGCGATGGATCTGTCATCGTGGGAGTCGGGAGCCTAGCTGGTCGCCGTCCCCTTGATGATGTGAATCTACAGCAGAATGAGGAGTTCGGGGAGATATTTCTTGATGAAGGCACAACACGTGCCAATGTACGACTAATTTTCCCACTCAGTATTGAGGGTTCACGGGGGAGCAGGGTGGATGACGGGGTATTCGATGGCCTGGTAGGTCGGCGTTGGTGGCTTTAATCGAGATCGATTCAATCATGGCAAACTTGGGTTGATGAACTGATTTGGTGCCTTGAAGAGTGTTGAATGGTCCGGATAGTATGGCTACTTGGTTCTTGGTACTGCTAGTAATGCAATACCACCGGTATGCATCAATACATGAATGCCCTACTATCCGATTTTTGAGTCCAGAAAGAGTCGCTTCTTTTGATCACATGGACCTCTGCTGAACTCCCCAAAGCTCAATCAACCACGATCCGTCTACTACTCGATAAAGCAGCAACACCGATCAAACCGGCCCACGATCCCCTACTTGTATCTACCGGCCGCGTTCGATAGTCATGCCTGAATCCGGGCCGCCGTCGTTTGACTTGGGGAATGGTGGACCTCCGATCATGTCACATTACCAGGCGGCTCTTCACGGAGACGTCTTTCACCAGGATTTGTCTCACACGACCAACTGTGCCTCGCCCGATGTCCCAGTCGCGACTTCTCCCCCAGTGACAGAGGCCAACGTGCGGCATCTGATGAATAGTCGCGACGAAACAGGACAGACCGCTCACTCAACACAGGGACAAGCGCTTCCGGTGCCGAGCCCAGCGGGCCAACCTTCTCATTTCGAGGCCTTGCCACCCCCCTTCAACCCTCAACTTGACCCTCGTCTCACGCCAACCGGGGTTCCTGCTGCCGTACCAGGCCATGTACCGTCACAGAGCGCACAGCCCGAAGACGCTACAGCCTATGTTCTGGATCCTCCTGAGTTGCAAGAATGGAGACAGCGCTTGTTTGACGCGGACGGTGTCATAGTCTTGACCAATGAACAGTATTTGATCACGAACAATCCCTAGACATCTCCTTTTGATTCTGACCTCGACATTTACCAGATACAACACGTATTTTCCGCATGTTGACAATGTCTACTCTCATCGCAGCTCGCAAAAGTATAAGCGGAAGCCATTCGTCTCTCATTACTATGACTGCAGGCTCAAGGGGCGGCCACCGGGAACACCCAAGTCTGACGACCCGAACAAGAAGAAGCGAAAGCGTGCTGTTCGCGAATTGAATCAGTGTGATGTGAAGATCAAGATCACCGAGTACTTCCCCGGCGCCACACTGCACGATCTAGATGACGGAACGTACACGCCTGTCAACTTGCCGCAGAGCGCTCTCAGCAGCGGCGGCGACCGTCGCTTCCGTGTTCTCCCAGCTGACGCCAACGATGTGCCAACGGACGTAGGCAGAGACGGCCAGAAGTTCTATACTATACAGCGCGTCAATGGACACTTGAGCGGCAGTGGCATAGCTGGACCACATCGTCACACCTTGGCCAGGAGTGACGAGGTCAAGAAAAACAGCGTACTCCGTTTCCTGGCGAAGCAAGAGCAAGCGGCCAAAAAGGTATAAAATGAACATTGGTGTGATTTGACGCTGGTCGTGAAGGACTAACACAGTCATAGATACAAACTTCTAGAAAAGCCTCTGAAGCAGCAGCAGCGACGATCAGGAAGCACTCGAAAGATTGTGACACAAAGTTCTTTGCAGCCTGTTATTGGTACGTCCTCTTTCAACGTTTGTACTTATTCATACCTGGTAACATCCGTCGAACTAAATGATCTTGCCATAGTCCATTTGCGCAGCGAATCTGGATAGCTTTGGAGGCGAAGAAGCTGCCGTACCAGTACGTTGAAGTTGACCCCCACCGCGCACCACTGCCGAGGCAACTTCTCGAAGCCAACCCCCGAGGCACTGTGCCTGCCATCAAGCAAGGGGATTGGGCCTGCTCCGGGAGCACAGTGATTCTCGAATATGTAAGACGTTCTGTAGCCCAAAGAAAGGGCCAAGCATTTGAGCAGGACTGACATGCGTCGCAGTTGGAAGATGCCAATCCAGCAAATTCCCTCTTCCCACCAGACGCTCGTCTCAAGGCGAACTGCCGGGTTTGGATTGATCATGTTCGTGCCCTAGTCGTCGATTCCATAAAGGTGTTTGTTTCCTCGAGGACTCGATTGACACAGTCTATAGATCACCACCATGATCGTGCCCTCGTTCTTCAAAGTCCTTAGGAACGTGGATGAAACGCTTCGACCAATATGCATGGACCAGTTACAGCGACACATCACAGAACTGGTGCTTGCTGCAGACGAGCAAGTATGACAATGCTTATTCATGTCGTGTGGCTGGCTCCAAATGGAGCACGTAGTAAGACCTGCTAACGTCGAGAGCAGGGCCCGTTCTTTCTTGGTGACGCGCTTTCAATAGTCGATGTCCACTTCGCGCCAATAGCCCTCCGACTATCCCGCATGCTACAGCCAGCTCGCGGGTGGACGGAGCCCTCGCCCAATCTTCGCTGGGAGACGTGGTTGAATGCGATGAAAACAACCCTCACGTCCAAGCAACGACGAGTTCCAGGGATCTCTACCTCAGTACCATGGACCTACTAGCGCAAGATCCTAGTGTGTAGATTTAATAGAGGAGACTCAATTGCATCCGACCACATTGGAGTCGTGGACAAAAGTCAAGTCCATGTCGGTTTCCGCATTCTGCCCGCTAGATCAGCCCACCATGTATCGACGTCACCGTGGTGCAGCTCCCCCCACCCCACCTCAACCCATTTCCAACTGAAAACAATCGAGACCTGCCGCTGTCCTTCGAGAGCAATCATCAGGCCACTCTAGCTACCATTCCAACCCAAATCGTGACCCTTCGCGCCACATACAAACCCTTGTGTACATACATACCGAAGCCGCCTCTCCGAGGGCTTGCTCTTATCAAGATCCGTTGTCTACAGTATCAGTCTAGCGCAGTCCTGACATTGCCATTCGTGCAAGCATCAGACCATAAGCAGTCGCGCGTCACTCAGCCTTTTCGGCTTAACAGCACTGCTCTACCTCTATGGGGCGAGAGGAGCGGAAAGGCAAGGCAAAACCCCTTCGTCAAAATACAGATAATCTAGAAACTGGTCAAACATGAAAGGTCATCCTCGCCATCAATGCGGGGTCCAGCTCGAGTCAAGATCTCCGTCTACTCCGCTGAGTTCCAGCAAAAAGCCCCGCCAATTCGCGGAAACGCAGATCAGCGGATTGACAGCCCCGCCTGCCCAATTATCGTACACCCGGAATGGCGTCACCGTCAAGAAGTCCGAGAAGCTGCAAGAAGAGCAGGTCAAGAGCCAGGACGACGCTTTCAAGCTTCTCCTGAAGACGTTGATTGAAGATCAGGAGCTGAAGGAGATTCAGGCGAAAGACGACATTGGCATCACCAGCCACAGAATCGTCCATGGGGGGGACTACACGGCTTCCCAAATCATCACGCCCGACACGTACCATCACCTGGAGAAGCTCAGTGACCTCGCGCCCCTGCACAACGGTGCCGCCCTGACCATTGTCAGGTCTTGCATCGACGAGCTCCCCGACGCGGTCAATGTGGCCTGTTTCGATTCTCAGTTCCACTCTACTATCCCGGAGCACATTCGCACGTATCCCATCAACATCGACGTTGCAAAGAAGAACCATCTCCGGAAATATGGCTTTCACGGCATCAGCTATTCGTTCATCACGAGGTCTGTGGCTGATTTCCTGAAGAAAGACGCCGCCGATCTCAACATCATCGCGCTTCATCTGGGCAGCGGCGCCAGCGCCTGTGCCGTTAGACAGGGCCAGAGTTGGGACACCAGCATGGGCTTGACGCCCCTCGCCGGTCTCCCCGGCGCGACGAGGAGCGGAAGCGTAGATCCAAGGTACGTCGTGGTCTCCCCACCTTTCCGTAATCGCAACCCCGCCCCCCCCCCCCTCCCCTGTAGAGAGTTGGGGACAAAGAAGATAGAGAGGCGGGAAGTTTGGGGGGGGGTGTGGCGCGGATAAAGGGGCGGTGCAAGAGGGGGGAGGGGGGGGGGGGG